ATATCGCGACTTTGAAACAGTGGAGGGATTGTAAAATATACCAAAAAGTAACTGGCTGACTGGGAAGGTAAAACTCAGGGAAGATGCATTACACTCTAAATCCAAATGTCAGTGCAAGCTGTTTGTATCTTCCAAAATTAGGAGAAGGGCATATATTGTTCAGTGTGAAGAAAGCCATTAACGCTGAAGAACGGAATATTCATTTACATGTCAGTCAAATTCGTTAGCGTCCCTGGAAAACTGCATAGGGAAGGGAGACTGATGGTGAAGTTGGATCACCAAATAAATATAAAGGTAGGAGGCAGGGGGAGAGTTGAGGACTGGGGTACGAAGGCGTTACATGGGCAGTTTGAGAGATAGGCAGATGATCTGTCGAGCGAGTCTTTGAGATGGATAACAACGGAGAGTTACAAAAAAGAGGGGCGCCCATCTTTGCAGCTCAGAATCAGGTGTTAAGACCACACATCTTACAAGCCAGCTAGGATCAAGAAACAGAAAGTGTAACCGAAGTGTAGAATGTGTGGAATTCATATAAAAAGGGACACGACAAAGTTGCAAGGAAACACCAAATAGATTGTGGTGGCAAATGGTATGAATGCCAGGATTAGTTCTTAAAATACATTTCTGCCACAAGATCATGTCTCATCCTTCCATTTCAGTTTCAAAAATGACTAAGGAAAAAAACTACTTGATTATTTCCTCTAATTTAGGAACCTAATATGGTTATAAAAACAGAATTAATACACAAACTGTAAGAAACAGAAAACAGAACTGGATACTGAGAGAGATCGGAAGATTGCGGGAGTTCGGATTTGGAAAAAAAAATTAAAGCTCGCAAAAAAGGAGATTTGCTTTGTCATATTTTGGCATCAAAGTGGAAAATTGATTATCACGAAATAGAAAATTATTTGGTCAATATTGTCTAAAACATCAATTTCCTTACTTCAATTTGTTATCCAGATTTATGGCTGTGCACCTGTCCTTGCTTTACAAAACGTTTTCATTTCCAGTGGTGTGTAAAAGGAATTTTGGAAAAAATAATAAGAAATTTAAAAAAGACAAATTAATATTTTTTTTTTTTTTTTTTGGGGGGGGGGGAGGTTAACTATAAAAAATTTATATTTAAAAAGTCCCCGCTGGATGCAAACACAGTTTTACGTTTACTCCACCGCGCAGTGTTCATTTCACTCTATAACTATCGTTCCAGTCACAACTTTTAAATTTGGTGGTGCATGTGTAATACAGTTCTCAAAAAGTAAAACTACGCTTATGTTTATACAGCCGGTTTTAAGAATTAAAAGTAAATAAACTGAAAGAAAAGGAAAGGGTATTCCTTCCTTTCAATTTTCTCATGTAAAAATTTTCAAAAGGGACCTTTTAAATCAATTCAAACCTTTTTTACTTTTTTGCCTAAAATAGTACCGAAACGTTATCAAGGTATGAGAAAAATGCAGGTTTACTGTAGGCCTAGTTTACCGGAAATCGTAAGACCCAAATTGGTAAGCTTTGAAGTGGTAAATGACAAACTCTTTTCAACTTACCTTACCTGTCAATCTAAAACATTGAGCAAATGTCTAAGAAGTTTGCCCCATTACGTTTGCAGAAGGCTCCTGCTCTGTTTTGCTTTGTATACTTTTAAGAATGCTATCAAATGAATACTCATTATAGTGGTTGTAATATCGCTTTTCAGTATTTTAGCTCTAAGAAACTAATCTTCAGTATCGATAGATAAATGACAGCAAATTAATTTGTAGTCAACGACTGCCTTCTAATAAACGGCCCAGTATAGACCTTTTGAGTTTGTGTTTTGTTTTCCCAAATCAGGCCACATGACGTATGTTCCCAAGGGATTTAACCTTTTGTCTTTTCAGAAATTTTGCGTACATATGCACGTGGAAAGGACTAAATTTGGAAGAAACTGTTTTTTGGGGTAACTTAACATGGCCATAAATAAGGAAACAAAACATACAAGTTAAAAAGGTCTATTGTCTTCGGCATTGTTGGTAACAAAGTGATTTTATTAATCGCATGCAAGTAGTTTCTTCCTCTTGTTGTGAAAAAGTTAGATATTTTTAATGTACCTTTTTCATCGTCATAACAAATACATTCCAAACGTTCAGTTACCACTTAATAAGTGTTCAATGTTCTTTGTAAAGCGAACTGTTACTGTTACTGGCCCTGAGTTGTAATAGTTACGTAAGATTAAAATATACCCCAGCGAGTAAACCAGAAAGCACAAATGATAGCCACTAATTTGAAGAATTAACTTTAATACCTGAAATATATTGATCCTGTTTTATTTAGCCGACAGGCGATTAATAGTCATGAAATTTATTCTACTTCTTTTGTTTGGCGACTGAGAACCGCAGAGTTTATGCGCATATTTTTTTCCTTCTGAGCTCCCATCTATGCTTCATCATTTTAATTACTGTATTTAACGCCTGTTGCTGGGCTGAAAAAAAGAAGTGAACTAGAGTTAAACCAAGTAATATGCTTAAGTTAACGACAAAAGACAGTTTCTTTTAAAAGATGATAATTTCAATTTCTTGATTACCTTGTCCAATTTCTAATCTTACGAAATCCTTTTTCATCCATGTAATACTGCATTTTATCCTCAATTTTCTCTGTTTTGCATGTATAATATATTACAAAATGAATTACCCAAACTGGACAAAAAACTGAAAACACGATCTTATATATGCAGACTAATCAAATCTCCCTAACTTGTTGTCTTTTAGCCGTGAAAACGTAATTTTCTATCACGAAATGAGAGACGGAAGATGAAAAGCGTTTCAGCCTTAATTTTACGTCATGAATGCGAACGAATGAACAAAGTATTGTAAAATGGCGTTATTGTGAAATGTTGACATGATTTTTATTAACCTCACGCTCTTGAAAACATTTTCTCACCCAATGATACGGTGATTATTCACGATATGTCAAATAAAGCGTTTGAGTTCCATTGATTGGAGTCAAATTTTTAGCGTAATAAATACAGTCTAGTAGGAAAAACACGCTTGCTAAGCGGGAACGTTCAAAAGGACAAAGGCTATTTTCAAACTATACGGTATAGCTTAGGGCTTCTGTTCTAGGCTTGAATAAATTCTGCAGGCAGTTCGAGCAGAATAAGCAGTCTTTAAGGCGAGAATTCTGCCGGCAGAATAAGGCATTTTCGGGCAGAATTTGAGCAGAGTAAGGGATAATTAGCGGCACTAATGATATGCATAACAGTTGTAAGAAAAATTTAAAACTAAATGAAAAGCAAATTTGATTATTTAATTAATAGCTACAACGTACTCACATAAAAATATTTAATATCTCTAATTAGTTTTTAGGAGTTAGGCGCAGGCTCCCTTCTATATTTGCGAAAATAAATTTTTTAGGATACCGAGCAGAATTCCAAACCTACCGTAGAATTCCGAAAATAAGCCCCTCCAAATAGAAGCCCCCAAAACTCGTAACGCAAAAAGCCCTCTGTTAAATCGTCCCTCCAAATATAGGCCCCCGGGGGCTTGTACTTGGAAATTGTTCTCAAATACAAAGTAAAACAAAGGAAAACGGTAAATTTTCTAACAAGGATATGGCTAGCCCAATCGATTTTTAAACGCAAATTTCTCTCGGTACATAAGCCCCTCCAAAAATAAGCCCCTCAAATAGGGCCTTTGGAAAATATAAGCACCGGGACTTATTTTCGGAATTTTACGGTATTCTGTTCACACATAAAAACGATGGTTTTGGGGCGATTTCTGTAACGGAGCAAGGCTGCGCCGCGCCTGTCTCTAAATTGGAGAGTCACGCATCGGATGGGCGTTGAGACCGTGCTGGCTTTGCCGTGCTGATGAGTCCTAACAAGGGAGAAACTGCTGTCCATGGCTGGGTATAGATTTTAAAAGAGGCAATTTTTTTACTTATATTATCTCATATCTTGATCTTCTTTTATTAATTTGAAGTCCTTCTCAGTCGTTGACGTTGCCTGATTCGCATTCCTGTCGAAGCAGCTGCTGGGTAGCTGCATAGAGTGTGCTGAATAAACGGTTTCGCCTGAAATGAAGCAGGGAAATCACGGCTATTCTACAGGCTCAGAGGCGATTTACAAGATGACGCCATCTTCTGACTACTAGTACCAGAATCCTTAAGGGTCTCGCTTTCTTGTGCAAATTCGGGCTTACTATGGTCTAACATGTTCCCTTACCATGGTCAACCATGGTTGATCCCTGCTTATGTCACAACAGTTTGACCATGGTTGACCATGGTCAAACCATCGTTATATCAGTGCCAAACCATGATAGACCATACCTGGAAACCGTGTTCAACCATGGTAAAACCATGGTTGAACATGGTATATCCATGGTCCTCTTACCTGGGGCTAAATTGTTATTCAAACTTTGCAAGGATTATTAAATTTTAAATACGAAAGGAGACACGAAATGGGTTCTGTTAGTACTAGTAGTAAAACGACGCCGTTACGCAAATAGCCTACTCCTAGCCTTCCTGTCGCCTCAGAGATTTAGGTTGGCTTCAAGGCTTGTCTCTATTTCTTTTAGAACTCTGACTTGTTTGGTTGTTACCATAACGACCAAAAATTAAAGCCCTTTTGAAGGCCCCTTGGAAATGTGGATTCATAATCCCGTATATAATTGGGTTTGCTAAACTACTAGTAAACATAAGGTAAACAGCTGCCATAAAAATCTCTCTGGGGATAAAGCTCCCAGCGGTCTCAACAATCACTACGGCAGATACTGGTCCCCATGTTATTACAAATACACAAACGACCGTGAAACTGGTTTTTAGGAGTCTGATATCAGTTGCAGGACGTCCCGAGGCCGCCCCATCTTGTAAGCTGTGGGCATTTAGATTTTGAGTGCTGTCTTTAAGGGTCTTATAAATCTTGTAGTAGCAGTAAAATATTGAAACTGTTGTTCCGTTGATCAATCCGCCTACGGTAACTATGGCCCATGAAATATGATCGATTGTCCAATTAAAAGTGCAGACAGCAAAGAGAGGATGGTAGGCCATCTTGCCCCAGCCGTATAATGGCGGTGTTGCAAGAAGCAAAGAAGCTATCCATACCAGGGAGCAGTAGAATCGTGCCATTCTCTTGCTCGGGAAAAGTCTGCTGTAAAACGCTGGTTTGACGACTCGGATATACCGGTTAAAGCCGATAAGTCCCATATTCAGGATAGAAGCAAGTCCTAACGTACACTGGATCACAGCTTGAATCTCACACCACCTCTCGCTAAAAATCCAAGTCCCTGTATACAGGGTTATTACCCAAAAGGGCATGTGAAGCGATGCTAAGGAAATGTCGGTCAATGCCAAGTTGTGGATGAATACATTCGTTAAGCTCTTGAGTCTGGAGTCTTTATGGACAACATAGACGACTAATAAGTTGTCGAGGATGGACATGAGGGAAATAAGAATAGATAAGGCCACTTCCAAACCAATTTCACTGCGAGAACGCCCTAGGGGGTCATGGGAACTTGATCTAGTTTGAGAGCTGTTCGCCATATTATATGAAGGATAGAATAAACTATAGATTGCTGGGCTGCAAAAACGAAAAAAAGATAAAATTGTGATGATAAATGATAACGATGACAAAAAATGATAATCATCATTATAATAATCGTAATAATAACATTAATTAAAGTAGAATATGGAGTAGGTTGGAGTTCAGCCTATCAAGAGGAAGTGGACTACCGGGCCCACAAGAGTCTCTGGTTGCTAGTGCCAGCAGCCCCTCAGCTACCCCTGTCAGGGTTGCGGTACGGTGCAGGCAAGAGCCTTTATATTGCCTGGAAACCCACCTAGGAGAAAAAACTCCAAATTTGCAATTTGTCAATGGATAAAATATTAGCTCTTCTTCTTCTTCCCCTAGAAAAAATGGCAAATTCTACATCCTCAATGCACTAATAATTGAAAGGTTCTATTAGTAGTAAACTTGTCTTGTAATATCATTCTGTAAGACTATATATTTTGTAACGTTAGCTTGTTTTTCTTATTTATCAACGTAGTTTATTTAGTCACTTTACAATATCGTCTGTTATGACTGTTGTAACCTTTCCTCTCCGCCCGCCTCGTCTAGCTTTTGCTATTTGCGGGCGGAGATGCATGGCAAATTGATATGTATGAAAATAAAGTATAGTATAGTATAGTATCTGAAGATGAATCATAGACAAATACAACTTAGAGAACGGCGTGAATGGGACTGCCAGTCCTAAAGGCAGCCCCTTCCCCGGCAGGATGGGTGTAAGTGGCCTGTCACCCCAGGTTGTCATGCTACAGCTGGCCAGGCATAGGAAGACACAGAAAGACTCGATGCAAGTGACAAGAAGGAACCCATGGTCAGGGAAAAAGAATATCTTGGTAGTGGAATGTCACATCCACAGAGACCCATCAAGACGGGGCTGTACCATGTTGCGAAAGGATAATCAAGAAATGGACAATTCGAGGTGGTGTTATTTCAGAATGTTTGCCAACAAATATACGTCAATAACTTCACAAAAGTACGTTTACTAAACAAACAACAATTCAATAACCAAACCCGTAGTTCAATGACCGCACAGTATTAGTTCGTTGTTCACAGACCACAAATGTGGGGAAAATAGACTTTTAAGTCTATTTAAAAGTACATCGGATTTTTAATAATATATAGATTAAGCCAAGCCTTAAAAAGAGAAGCGCCTGTTTGTATACTTTTAATCTACTTAAAACAAAGTTTAAACTAATAAGCTTTAACCCACTGCAAAGAAAGACTTTGTTTAACGCCTTTTTTTAATTAAGAACAAATGCGACAGCTCGTTATTCTTAAAAACTTTCACATGCAACCGGAAGAATTTTTGTAGCTTGTGTATTTCAAACCTAATAACGCGAGGTCATTGACATCGTCTCTTTGTCTCAAATCTTTAATTGACAATAAAAACAATTTCGCCTGACTGAGACAGTTACACAAGCAATGCAATTGTGTGAGTTTTTTTGGTGCTTTTTCATGTGATTATTTTTAACGTAGCTCATACGACTAGAGGAAAAAATGGAGGAAAACCTGTCAACTTTCAAAAGCCCCTCAAAAATGATTTTACCATAGTTTACCGGAAATTATCTTTCTTGTTTTTAATGGGTCAATAATCTAAGTAAACATGCAAATACTTGAAGCATGAAGCTTGAATAATGTTCAAAAAATAATTGGGCAACTGAAAATTAGACAAAATCCGTAATAAGGTTAATCCGAAGGGCGCATCAACAATCTGATACAAGAGTAATGACGAACAAGAAGACTCGCCCCTTTGGCGAGAATGAGATTCGAATAAAGAAGAATTAAAAGATTTCTGGTTGCGAGAGAGACTAGAGAGAAATACTCAGCTAAAACATATGTTGCACGTCTCGCTGCGGTTGTGTTAATTTCCTCGCTTTCAAAGCCCAATCCATGCTCTTACGGCAAACCATGACAGTGCATTAAAAACTAAAAAGAACGTCCTCTCACCTTTGAAGTGAGGCAGCAATAGTATTTATTGTATTTTCGACAACTCTGTGCTACTCTGCTTTAATTTTGATATCATTATTAAATTTAGTTGTGATTATATGGAGAAAATCACTGAACAGATGGTTGACTACAGAGCGTCATCTTAATTTTTTACCATTCGGCTATCAAAGGTTGTAGTCATAAGACGGCACCGGCCCCATGTCATCATAGACAAAAATGACTGTAAAACATGAATTCAAGATTTTAACACACTGAGCTCGTCGGCGATTTGTCGTTCACTCTATTCAATTTTCCGCGCCATGTTTATTAAAAGTACGCAAGCTTTCTTAATAGCGGCAAGACTTTGAGGGCATGATTCCGTTCAGTGGATATTATGCCCGCACTGACGTATGACACATGAAATATATTCAAAATCAAAATCAACAGCGCAAACAGCAATACTGAAAATCTGGGTGTTCGAAATAAAGTATTGCTAAATTGAGCTATATATATACCATGTAAAACAAAACTCTAGCCTGGCCGACCCTGTTACATGTATGTGTTGTTATGGTCAAGAAGCCAAATATTGCTATAACTTTAAAGTAAAAAGGTTGAGAAACCCCCGCCAGTCTGAAACGTGGCTGACGTTTGGTGTACTGAGAGGTAATCGTAACTATCGTTTCTGTGAATATGTAAAACGTTGCAACGTAGGTCGATTCGCAGTTGGGCCATACTACGTTTGTCCTTAAACGGAATTCCCTACTGGTAAATAAATTGCCTTTTAGAAGTTCAAATTTCATACAGTAACCTTCATGATAAAGGGTCTTCAAATTGCTTATATAACTTGTATTGTAACTCATATAAAATCAAAGATTACGAAATGCAACCCGAAGGCTACTGAAAATCATGCATGAAACTAAAAACAATCAGCTTCAAATTGTTAAGTAATCTCCTTTTTAACTTAACTTACCCTTCACTCTGAAAAATTTACGAAATTTCTGGTAATATCGGCCTCATCACTATTGCACAGAGCTGTTCCTGCTATTAATTGTTAGGTATCTTTCAAATGCAACCTAATAAACTAAGATTAAACATATGGTTTTTATATTGCTTTTTGGTCTTTCCATTGTTTTGAACAGCTTATTATTTTCAATAAATGGAAGAGTAGCTCGCTAAAGTGGAACAGGAGATTATTACTAAAAATAATTATCTGTTTTTCCGCTTTACTGGACACGTAATAATGGCTGGATCTAAAACAATGGAAAGACGCATTAAATCGGATAATTCCTTCCCTCCTGGAACCTCTTAAAAGTTTCGACCAAGCGCGTAGGCCTCGAAGTTCAGTCATACTAATGAAGGAAATTCAAAAGGTATTTAAATCTGTTATCAGTAATCTTAAGTACTCACGGCCTCCAAATCAATGGCCAGCATTGTTTTTGGCTTTATTGGTTTCTTCTTGGTGATGAAGTGAAATTGTTATCCATCGCATGCAATTGCCATGTCTTTATTTCTCTTGCTATGAAAATGTTTTTTTTTCATTGTAATATTAAATGGATTCAACCCTCAGTCACCCTCCCCAGGACTGTATTCAAGTAGATGCGCGAAAAATATATCCAAGCGAAGTAGACTGAATTTGAATTTGAATTTTTCAATGATCACGGTTATAACAGAAAGAGCATTGCGTAATTTTTTAAGTCGCCTCTTGAACGAGAAAAGTGGTGGAGCAATACTTAAACCCTCCACTGGAAAGGACCAAACTTCCGCTTCTTCTCCATTATCTTCAGTTTGCTTCAGTGCACCTTTCTATTGTTTTGAACAGGTTATTAGACCTCCAAACTCAATTATTATTCTTTATTCTTTTCTTCTCTTGCGCCTTTCCGTGGATCGGTCATAAGAGAAGTGGGTAGGGTATAAATGTCGGAAATCTATATTTGTTTCCTCCTTAACAGAGAGTGGGGTTTACAAGCATAGAAATTTGAAATTCAATTTAGTCACATTAAGCAAGGTAGTTTAGACAATATATGTGAAGAATTGTCGTTTGCTGAAAACAAAGAATAATATATGCTCAAGTCAGAGACTATATAGTTTCTGAATTGCTTCGCTAATCTGATTATGAAGCCGCAGAAAACAAATACGCTCTACGAGAAGTTAGAGAAAATATCATGCTTTCCTTAGAGCAAGATTTAAATAGGTGCAAGCACCCTATTATGCATGAAGTCGCTTCAATTATGCAACATGCCAAAAGATGAGTTGTCTGTGTGGCGAATGGCAACACTTAAAGACATCTGTAAAGAATATGACATCGATGTTTCAGGAAGGCGGAAAAAGACACAGATTAAGGGCGTTGTCTCCCTTGCTGACAGTTGTACCTGTAGGTTGAACTTTGTAAAGAAAATCCAGGGTAACTTGTTATAGGAAATTAATGCTTCATGAAATTAATGTGAACTTCCAGAATTCGCGTTAACTTTAGTCGCGTTATTTTTTTGTCAACGTAAATTTCAGCGAACTTAATGTCCATTGTTTCGACCCCAATTTCTCAATACGTCTCTAAGTTATGTGAGCTACTCTTCCATTTATTGAAAATAACAACCTTTACAAAACAATGGAAAGACCAAAAAGCAATATAAATACCATATGCTTAGTCTTTATTAAGGTTGTATTTGAAAGATAAAAAACAAAAAAGAGCAGGAACAGCTTTGTGCAAAAGTGATAAGGCCGATATTCACCGAAATTTCATGATTTTTCAGAGTGAAGGGTAAGTTAAGTTAAAAAAGAGATTACTTGACAATTTGAAGCTGATTGTTTTTAGTTTCATGTTTTCAGTTACAAATGCAAGTTATATAAGCAAAGAAAAAAATGTGGAAATGTTTGAATTTGTAGACCCTTTGCAAAGGTTACTGCATAAAATTTGAACTTCTAAGAGGAAAATTATTTACCAGTAGGGAATTCCGTTTAAGGACAAACTACAAAACGACCTACCTTACAACGCTTTACATCACAGAAACAGTAGTTATGAAGTTAAATGATTACCTCTCGGTACACCAAACGTCAACCACGTTTCATTCCGGAGGGGATTTCTCAAACTTTTTACTTTACAACAGCAATATTTGGCTTCTTGTCCATAACAACACATAACAGGGTCGGCTAGGCTAGAGTTTTGTTTTACATGGTATGTATATTTTGAATTTGAATACCTTTCCCTCCCTATAGTAACTGCGGGCATAGTACCCAACGGAATCACGCCCTCAAAGACCGGTAGCAATAAAGAAAACTTGCGTAATTTTAATAAACATGGCGCGGAAAATTGAATAGAGTGAACGACAAATCGCCAAGGAGCTGATGTTAAAATCTTGAATTCATGTTTGACGGTCATTTGTGTGTCTATGATGACATGGGGCCGGTGCCTTCTTATGACTAGAACATGCATTTAATAGCAAAACGGGTAAAAAAAGTAAGGTCACGCTCCGGTAGTCAACCATATGTTCAATGATTTTCTCCATGTAATCACAACTACATGTATATTTCATAATGACATTAAAATTCAAGCAGAGCAGCATAGAGTTGAGGATACAATAAATCCTTATCATTGTTGTCTCACTTCAAAAGTGAAAGGACTTTCCCTTTAGTTTTCAATGCACAGTATTTGCATTAAGAGAAAGCATTGGGCTTTGAAAGCGAGGAGGTTAACAAAACCGCAGCGAGACGTGCAACATATGTGTTAGCTGGGCATTTCTCTCTGGTAACCGGAAATCTTTTAATTCTTTATTCAAATCCCATTCTCGTCACAGGGGCGAATCTTCTTGTTCGCTATAACTCCTGTGTCAGATTTTTGATGCGCCCTTCGGATTAACCTTATTACGGGTGTTGTTTTCAGTTGCCCAGCGTGGAATTCAGAATCCAAGACTGTCTTGGATTACGCTACATAGGGCGAAGATCATTTTTCCAAATTGTTGTTAATAGCGACGTAGATAATGCTCAAATTTGGAGGCATTGACCCTGAGAAACCCAAGCGAACCACCGGAAAAGAAACGTCATGTTAGAATATCATTCATTGAACAGATTAGTAAACTGCACGACTCTCCAGTTTCTATAAGCAACAACAACAACAAGGAGCTTTTAATTATTTGCATGACCGTACATAATAATGAGTCTTCATTTCATCAAAAGATAAAACTACATATCTTATGTTACAATAAGACGGAAGATGAAAACGATGATAAAAATATCTACATATATATACATATATATATCAAAAACGTATGTCATTACAATAAATGGAGCTTAGAAATCAACCTATTTACAAAGGTGTCCATAAAACGCTCTGTATTAATTTTCGGGCGTGCGCAGCCTTTTTTCCTAAGATTATGTACATAAGTCTTCTGGACAGGAATGATATCTTTCAGTGGGTGGCAATCCGTTGATATTAATTTCTTTAAAATGTTTCGGTCTTGTTTATTTAAAAGGTTCTTGATAAAAACTGGAAATGAAATAAAACGGCGTTTATGGCATCGGTCTCAAAAATTTTGTATAACCGTGAGATCGGACTCCGATGTCCTATAGACTGAAAGCGCAAAGCTAAAATTAGGTAAAACAATAGATATAAAAAGCTGATCTATCTCTGCCTGAGAGTAGTGTTCAATTACAAGTTAAAGTACGTCATTACGTTACTTTGCTAATAATTTGTCACGAACATCAAAGCAAGCTGAAATATATTTTATGAATTGCATATTGATGAAGTAATTAGAGGAATCCATCAGCACATTGATCAAAATGTTTACAGGTAACTGGGTAATATTTGGAATCAGTGTCTTGATTTTATTGTAAAAC